GCTTTCCCATCATCAATATTTTTTTTTAAATCAGTTCCGTGGTGCTGGCAGTGCATGGCCTAAAAGAATTTCCCCCCACTGATTTTGAGTGGCTGTTTATATCAAGTTCTAAATGTTCATATTAACTTGGATACGTTCCTGGGTTTTCACTTCTGACCTTTTGGGATCTCTGTGTGCTAGTGTTCTCCTGATTTAGTATTGATGGTTTTATACTTTCATGTGTATACAGTACAGTGTTTCCCATCTCTCCCGTACTGTTCTTTTTTAGGGTTTTCCTGTCTGTTGTATTCTTTTTTGTTTACATGCAAACTTTATAATCAGCCTTTTGCTCACAGTTGCATTAGACCTCCTAAGGGATGTTTTCTGATTGCTAATGTCTACATTCCACCTCTTTTACTGGCTTATAGTCTAACTACTTTATTGTCTTTATCCTTTCTTTTGCCTATTGGAAAGGGCGGTCTTTTTCATACATTTTCTAACCCGGTTGTTTTTAGTTAAGATGAAGCTGTTGGCTTCTGGCCCTGGTGGGTGTGGCTCAGTTGGTTGGAGTGTCCTCCTGTACACCAAATGGTGGCAGGTTCAGTTCCTGGTCAGGGCACATATGTGGGTTGGGGGTTTGATCCTCAGTCGGGGTCCATGTGGGAGGCAACTGATCGATATCTCCCTCTCTCCCTTCCTCTTTCACCCTTCCTCTCTCTAAATTCAATTAAAAAATAAAAATCAGTTGTTATAAAAAACAAAGGCTGTTGACTTCCGTATTCTAATTTTGCCTTCCTGTTATAGACAGTAAGAAAAATGTAATAAAGCAGCAGTTTCCCAGGGTTCGAGGCTGTGTGGGCAGGTGCTCTTCCTGTGCAGCCTGTGCCCCTCTTGTGTGGGGACCTGCTCCAGTGGAGGTAAAGTCATGGTGCGGGCAGTGCATGGCCTAAACAAGCACTTTCCCATTAAGTAGAGCTTTGGGGCTGAGGTAAATGTATTTTGTCATGTTAAAAAATATAGTAAAAATCCACATATAAGTGGACCTGTGCAGTTTACACCTGTGTTCAAGGGGGTCAACTGAATATCCATTGATTTCTATTTTCTTGTAAATTTTTATCATGGATGGATTTAAATTTTGTGGACATGATCATTTAATTATTTCTCTTCATAGATCCAAAAATATTCTGAATTATATAAATGGATTTCCTAATATTGAATCATTTTTGGACTAAACCTCATTTGATCACAGTGTAGAAGCCAGTGGTCTTAGTTTCTATGCTAGTTGTGAAGTGAGGACCTTTTCTGTTGCCTCTGTGATACAATTTAACGGTTTCTGTTGTAAATGTTGAATATTCTGTGTGAAACTGTACACCTTGGGGGAGAAGAGAAGCTGGCTGATCTGTGACTTTGCTGGGACAGTGGTGGGAACCTTAATGGTTTGCTTCTTTTTAAGTTGCTGGCTGTTCTCTGTACAGAGTTAGAAAGACTAGAAACGGCCATCTTCCTCCCAGGTTTCTCTCTGACCTCAGGAAGTTGGTTGATTTCTGACAGTTTGACATACAAGATGAAGGGTTTAGATTGTTTCCATTTTCTTTACTCAGATGAGTTGTCTGTTTTATTTGCTTGTAAAAGAGACAGGTAGAAAAGTTTATTAATAGACATAGGGTTTATATCTGAAAAAGGTAGCCCAGTACTCCAGAAACAGAAATGAATCTGGTCTGTCAGTACGTCCCTGCCTCCTACGATGTCCCAATATGGTGTTAGGAGTCACCAACATGGAAAACAAGACAGATGAACTTGAATATCCCTGTCTTAGTGGTGGCTTGTAGCTGGGCCGAGAAGATGTTGAATAAAGAATTATCTCTAAATAATTGTGATAGCTGAAAGTGTGACCCGGGTCATACCACACTTGAACTTACCCTAGTCAGGAGGTCTGGGAAAGCATTCCCAAGAAGGTGATGTTTAACCTGAGACTATTCTAAAGGATAATGGGGGTTGGCTAGGCAAAATCAGGTGAGACTTGCATTCTAACCGGAGAGAATATTATGGAAAAACATGCTTTTTCATAACCTACAAATACTTTTATTTTCTTTGTTTCTCTACCTATTGTAGGCCTCAGCAACTGTTGCCATTCCCAAAGAACATCATCGCTTTGTTATTGGTAAAAATGGAGAGAAACTACAAGACTTGGAGCTAAAAACGGCAACCAAAATTCAAATCCCACGCCCAGATGATGCAAGTAACCAGATCAGAATCACTGGCACCAAAGAGGGCATCGAGAAAGCTCGCCACGAAGTCCTGCTCATCTCTGCCGAGCAGGTAAGGCCAACTGTGGACCTAGTATTCATATGGCAGCCTTGACCCCAACAGGCCCTATCTGTCCAGGTTGTGCCCAGACCTGTGCTCAGCTGTGTCCTTTCATTTCCAGGATAAACGTGCTGTAGAGAGGCTAGAAGTGGAGAAGGCATTCCATCCCTTCATCGCTGGGCCTTATAATCGACTCGTCAGTGAGATCATGCAAGAAACAGGGACGCGCATCAACATCCCCCCACCCAGCGTCAACCGGACAGAAATTGTCTTCACTGGGGAGAAGGAGCAGCTGGCTCAGGCTGTGGCTCGGATCAAGAAGATTTATGAAGAAAAGGTAGCGGTGGGAGGAGGGAA